AAATTCATGATGTTAAGGCCTCCAAACATGCTACTTCAAATTTGGATTCCTTTTCACTCTTCACGAAAAACTAGTCTCGTCGGATTGGAGCTGATCGCTGTTTTTGTGTCATACTAGTAAAATGGTTGGAGTCCATCGTCAGAAAGGGAAAACTATACTTTTTCCATAATTCAAAAATAATTGAAAGAATATAGCTCAGCAATTTTGAAGTAATGAATTTTTTTAAATGGCTAAGTTCAGTTCAATCTGAGAAGATCCCAGCTTCAAATATTTTCTTTTTTTGAGGAAATAAAGAGAAAGGTATCAATGAGCACAAATGGGGTGTGTTAGAGCAAAACCTATCATTTTTAGATGTTACCTGTCACATTCCCTAAAGGAATATAGACTACATTTTAAAAGGTATCTCTGTTGAGAAAAAGTCAAGATAAAAACATATTCTCATGAGTCAAAAGAGTCACCAATGAATTGTATTATGTTCAATTGTTCAGAGTAGATGCAATGTGGATGAGGAAGGAGCAGAGGTGGTGGGGAGAGATAGGGCTGTCTGAGGACATTTAATTTCTTGTATTTCACGAGTGTCTCATACCAGCCTAAAGCATAGTGTGTGCGGGCTCTTACCTTGTCTCTTTTTGAGGAAAAGAAGGGAAAGGTAATGCAAAAAAAAAAAAAAATCATCTGGATGGTAAATAGAAGAGGCACTTGTGCAGCCTTGGCCTCCTGTCATTGTCTCCATTGTAAGCGGTGTCAGAGCCATCACATTAGGTTGCCACCACAGGGTGCATGCAAATAGGACAGAGAGCGAGGCAGGCAGTGCTCAGCAGCTACCACCTGCACATTTCAGATTGTTGGCAGGTACATCGCAGTGGACTAAAACAGAATAATTACTGGAGATAGAGTTGGCAAGTGTAGTGTATGGGAGAGGCATTCAATTGCACACAAGTATGATAGGTGAACTATAAAAAAAATTGTGGGGAGGGAGGGGAAAAAAGTCCCCATTAAACACCAGACAGCTGGCAATTCTGAGCTTCCATTTTGTTATCTATGAAATAAGAGAAGCTGACCTATCAAGTCAGATGCTAGCAGATTTTGGACCATTGATTTAAGCAGGGGTTGTAAAGAGTAAAATCAGGATCTTGAGGGGGCATCTCTGAACACCAAACAAATAAGCCCTCAAAGGCCAGGAACATGTAGTGAAGTGTGTGATAACCACATGTTACATGAGTAAGTGCAGGGTAGACCATTTCTTTGTAAATACTGGGACGCTTGTTTTATCTACCTTACACACAGTACTTATAATAGGACCGGTCACTGTCCTAAGCATTTTACATTTATTAACTCATTTAATTCTCTGAGTATCTTTATTAGTGTTCTTCTTATCATTGCCATTTTACATGGGGAGGAAACTGAATCACGGAGTTAAATGACTTACCTGAGACACTGTTAAGCGGCAGGGTGGAGGGTTCAGCTCAGGCCGTCTAGCTCCAAGTCCACACTCCAACCCTTCGCCATGAGCTGTCTCCCACTGAGAATGTATATGGGTATAAATGGGGTGTTCTA